GGCGGGGCGTGGCGGAAGAACGGCCGCGGACCACATGTTAGGGGCGGAAAAATGGCCACGGACCACGTGTCAGGGCGGAAAAATGACCCCGAGGCGGAGTTCGCACACCGAGGTAAATTTTTGCGGCTGGAGCTGGTCATAACCCAAAAGGTTCGTTAGTAGAGGCGTTCGTATCCCGAGGTACCACTGTACTAGGTATGTTCGCCCCCTTAAGTTGACTATATGTAAAATAGTAATAGTAATAATAATAGAAGAGATGCTTGTAGATACACTTACCTTTCAACCTTCTGCAAGTGCTATTAATTCTGTTAACAGTTCTGCAGGCCCACTGAGATTGGCCTGTTGTAAGGGATGTGAAAAAGGCTTACTGGGCCTAGCAAAATCCCTTTCCTTCATGTCCACTTAATTAAAGGGATGGGAGCCATATATATATTTTTTTGGCTGAGAGGAGCTGCAGTTCATGAGGCCTGCAGACAACTTTTCTCCCATAAGTATACAGTGCAGTTTCCTTTTGCGTACAGAGTGAATGTTTAAGCAAGCTTAATAACAGGAACTAGTGTTTAAGCTTTAAGCTTTAAAGAACCCAGGCTTGTGAAAAGCCAAAGAGTGCTAGCAGTTTTGATTATGCAAAAAAGAAGACCAGGAAAATTGGGGTGGGTGGGTAGGTAGATTAGAACTCAAGATGATCCCAGGGGTTCAATTTGACTTAGAAAAAAGGTAAAACTCAAATAATTTATTTTTGGATTTGTGTTTATGCATGCATATTGCTTGCTTGTTCTTTCTCTGTGCCTGATCTTTGGGGTGCTGCCACCCCTATGTACTCCATAATTCCTTTTCTGACATAACTTAGAATGAAGGGACACCTCCTGGTCATCTCTATCTTCCCAACTTTCTGCATGTGCACACATGCTAGGATTTTAAAATGGGAAATAAACAGGGTGCCCCAGAAAAAGGAACTCCCATGCACTTCATATGTACACATTATGGGTTATCTGTTTGTAAACATTTAAAGAAATAGAACAAGGCTCTTGGGTCCTCTGTAATCCAGGGCTGCGATTTCCAAGAAGTGGGCATGGCCAAAACAGTCCATTTGTAAGAACTACTCATGCATAAAAAGAAAAAGGAGAGCTCTTCATAGTAGCTAGCATTCAAGACTTGAGAAACAGAAGCTGACAGGCACTGCCAGGTTTCTACAGTTGCAAGCCTAAAGAACTCTAATAACTCTAATAAGAATAAATGACACATAAAAAGAATAATAAAATACAAG